GGGGGTAGAAGCAGAAGTTGTTTTGATTTGCGTTGCGGTGATGGTAAATAATCGCAACTATATATGCCTTCCCGATGCCAATATCCGACGCGCGCTGTATCAATTCTGCCGGACAGATATTATATACGCATGGGCGCACAACGCCAATGAGCGAAAATCAATATGCATCGACTCCGTACATTGGTAATATGGATCAAAACAAAGTCGAAATATTAGGGCATTCATTACATATTCTTGTACGCGATTGCACGAGTTTTGTTTCACGGTGCAAATAAAAGCTCGTACAATATTTATTACATCACCCGCAAACGCCAGGAATAACGGGCTTTGAAAAAAAATGCACAATAACACAATTCGATATTCGTATGTATATATGTATGTATACGCAAAGCTTCGGGTATATCTGCGTACTTTTTTCACTTGGCTCGTTTATTGGAGCCGAATCACAGTCGATGGTCTTTTCTCCATACGATATAATTATGGGTCATAAAAGTCCCGAAGATTTTAAATATATTATATGAGGTAAGAAAAAAAGAAAGCATCTATGGTTCGTCGCGTGTTGAAGGAAAAAAAAAAAAATTATGAACCACCACCTAAAACGCTTTAAAATGCAAAAATACACGAAGCCCATGCGGGGTTGAAACCTTATAGGCTTGCGCTGGTTTTTTTTTTTTTTCCCTCATACATTGATTATATAGAACTTGCGCACCGAGCTGATGAGCGTAAATATTGTTACATCACCGTCTGCGATGCCGTGGAAACGACGTAAACTAAAAAAATCAACCCTACGCCCGTATTCCTCGTTTTTTCATGTACATTATATTATCCTCGCTCCTGCGCGTCAAAGTGTGCAAAAGAAGGGATGTATACCAAGAGGACGCGTATAGGAAAGGATAAGTCAAGACAGAGGACACCATCAGCTGGTGAGCGGCGCAAAGCTCCGAGTGATCGGTATAAACCTATACAAAATATACTCACACAATATACATGTATATGTCAGTGTATGGGAGTGACGGGAGTCGAGAAAGAGAGGGAAGGAGTATATATATATATATGTATACATAGAAGCGTACGTATGTACAAAGCTCGCTCGGTTCGTTGATGTCGAAGCGAATATATACATATATAAGTATAGGTGGATGGAGGTGGCGGCGCGACGGATACGCGCGGCGAGGGAGAGGTGGAGGGGAGCGACGACGCTTTTTACGCTCACAGCCGTGAGTGAATGACCGGTCAGAGAGCCACCTCTCACCATGGAAGGCAGCCAACCATACCTTGCTACCTATACCAGCCGAGTATACTACTGCCACGGCTATACTATGCTTATATTATTATATACGTGCATATAGGTACATCGTCTACGTGGGTATTATGTATTTATACTGTACACAGTGTGCGTTTATATAATAGGTGAATTCTACAGGTATACATTTCCATCGGGATCGGCGGTTCAGTGATTCTTGCAAGGATTACCACGGTGAGTTCAACTCCCCCCCTTCACCACTCGTGTATAGATACACCCTGCGGTTTATACCCTATATCCCTCAACCAAAAGTTATGACACTGAATATGGTGTATTTATCTTGTGGCTCAGCCGATCTTTTGCCGATGCTGATGTTTATGTAAATGTCATCCCTTATACCTCGAGCACTGCTCCACCTGACCTTTCCTCTCGATGCACCCTTTATTTGAGAGGTACATAACTGCAAGCAGCTTTCAGCTTCGCGTCGTTCGTTACACATATACATAGGTATACACACCCAAGCTCTGCGTACATGGATTCGCTATATTATTGCGTCTTTGCTCAGCTCGAGTGTGGCTAGAGTATATATAGGTATACCCAAACCCGCCCCTCAACCGATGCGGGGACTCACGGGAATACTTATACCTACTTACCTATACGCGGCCAAAGCCGATTATTCCACTTCGCGGCTTGGGTACATACGCGGCGACCGGCTACGCGTGTGACATATACACAAGGTATACATATAGGTACTTGCTTCTCTCTCTCTCTTTATAAAACCTCTCATCCTCCCGCGGACGATATCCGCGAATTTTCATCGAATCCGTGGATTCCGCGCTACTCGAGCTTTTATACTGCAAGTATCGGTACTACTTACACGCAACATCCCCACGAATAACTCGGCTGGCCATCGCAAGTTACGAGTTTCGGGCTCTCCGTGTGTATACGTGTTCCGCTCCCCGAATTGTCATTTTCAGGTGACTGTATACGGGGTAACTTTGGTCGACTGTCACGTACAGGAGGAAGCAAATATAAGGACTTTTGCTTCATATGCATTGAGAAGGACGCGTACGTATACATTATTATACACTTAACAACTTCAATAATCGTGTAAGATGTAGTCCGAAGCGCGACAAAGAACATCGGAGTGTACATTTTGTTGCAATCACGTGCACGTATATGTATATGTATTAAAACGAAGATTGTCAGACTTGCTGGGATTTTTGTAAGTAATTCATGTGCGGTTGGTATTTTATAAAGTTGGAGGGGTAACGCCGAGCGCCCAATTAGCGTGAATTAATACGCCACGCGGCCCGACTGCGATTCCGATCAAAGTTTCACGGTGTAAAAAAAAAAAAAAAAATGACGTCCCCCTTTTCCTGCTCGTGCAGAAATTTATACTTACATATTGTATATGTATCCACACTTTACACCACGAAGGCTAGGTATACCCGAGCTTTCGTATGAAATGTCCATTATTAATCAGTCATTAGCGTTGCTTCGGAGCGGAGGAGAGTATTATTATATAATACCTGTATATACGAGAACGAAGAAGACGAGGTCGAGTGAAAAGTTTGATAAGAGCTAGCGCGAGTCCAAGCACATATATATGTATATACACATACGACGTAAAAGGAGCCCGGCAGTGTAAGTACTGATGATTCATTTACGAGTCGCGCGGGGTTGTTTGCGGTCGACTTGCAGGAGAACAAGGAGGACTGTACTACACGTATAGGATATATCCCAAGGTGACAGGGAACCATAGACACATAGACCCCTTGTCTTTCGGGATGTATCGGCTCTCTCCTCTGCGGATACTCACACGCGCCCAGGTATACGTGACTTTGATTCCTTTGTGCGCGACACGGTACATATATAGATGTATATGTATGTACATATACACATGTGCAAGGATCAAGCCAGTCGCGCTAATTAGACCGCCCGGCATGTATATACACGGGCCAGACTACAACTGCCAACTGGGGTTGGCTCGTCGTCCCAAGGGGAACGCTCCTTCGTCCCTCTCGCTTTGCGCGCGTTCCGTCATATTTGCGCGGATTTCGAACTATATATATATATATATACCGGCGTCACATACCGATATACGTATATATATATATATATGTATATATGTATATATGTACACGCTGTACGCCCATTCCCCTTGTCATCGTTCCTCCTATATATGGTGTCCATCGGCATGATCACGCGCATCGGCAGGCCGCGCGAGGCTCGCCGCAGGGCCATCGCGATCGACTTGTCGGCCGATACGTCAAGCGACCGATCACGACGACAGCCCGCGGATCGATGAATAATGGAGATCCATCCCGAGAGCCGTCCTGCCTACATACACGTATAGACCATACGGATACTCGATTCACAGCAGGTGAATATATGGTTGCTATGTAGATGCTCGTGCACTTGAGTTTCAGTCGTAGGTATATATATATACATATTTGTATATATATAAAAGCAGCGTACATTCATGACGGAGGAGCCGTGTCACCGTTATACTCGGGCCCCTTTTCTTATATAGATATACATGTACCATACTCGAGACAGACCCTCTATATTATATACTCTACTGTATATTAGGTTGTACGCACCTCGGCAGTCCGCAGCTAGTTCGCTAAAACACATATAGATATAGGCATACAGATATATACATATGTATATAGGTATACCTCTCGCAGCCGTAAGTGTATATACGTATGTATACGGTGCAGCGCATTTTGTCCGATAAGACTATAACATACATATATATATATATATATATATGTAGAAGTGCGCTGCACTCCATGCATGCACACACATATATATATATATGCAGAGAGACAAGAAAACCTGCGGCAGACACTCTCTCTCGTAATACCTCCACGGGGCAGCTATGCGCTTCCGCCTTCCTATCCTCTCGCGTTGCGTTCTCTCTCCCCCTATCTTTCTTTCTGTCTTGCGCGAGCGCCGAAGGAATTTTTGCCCCCTTCCACCCCACCGCCACCTGCCCTCTCCCCCTCGTTATCGTACGTACCCTTTCCTTTCATCTACCTCTACTATATATTTATATGCGTGGTGATGCGGTGTGTATATGCACCAAAGTGTATTGCCATTACCACTACTAACCGATGCTGAAAGGTATCTATATATATACTTATATGGTCTAGAGAACGCGCGCCTCGCCGCGCTCGCGGCTTACTTTACTTTGGTGTGTGGCGAGGTAAGTGTATATGTATATATGTATGTATATATACCCACTACTTGGCCTGCAAGGCCTCCTGCATGGGCTGCCGCCGGCATGAAGAATCGCCGCTGAGCTTAATGGACTCTGGAGAGGAGTACCCCCCCCCCCTTACTGTGTATATACAACATGTAAGAGAGCCAGCCCTCTCTCTCTATCTCTTCGTGTATATGTATATATATGTGCGCGGCACCCCCCCTTTAGGATCCAGTTTTCCGTTGTGTGCTTTTCCAACGTATAGCGTATATATATATATATATATATATATATAAATGGCACATGTAAGATACCGAGCAGCTTTTCGCGCTGTAACGTTGCGTGCTCTCCCTCTCTGCCGTCTACTATTATTTGTGGGATTTTTTTTTTTTTTTTTATTCACCGCCACCCTTGGGTCAATTTTTTTTGTTTTTTGGTCTTTTCTGGTTGGTTTCGATTTTTCTCGTAATACGACATTTATACGGTTCCGCTGAAAATTATTGCATGCATCGGATACGTATTTGTGTGCATATATGTTTTACTGACCTGGTCCGACATTTCCGTGAGATCGTGCAGACTGAGGTTGTAAATGGCATTCCTGCAACAGAAAGCAAATAAAGAAAGTGGATTTTGGTATAGAAGCACCGGGAAAGTCGAGCAGAAAAGTTCTTATTTTTTTTTTTTTTGCTTTGTAGTTTTGTGAACTGAATACAGGTGTAATTGCAGTCAAAGTGTCGTGTCACGCATGTACATTGTCTTTTACGAGGGAAAGTAGGACGAAATTCATTTATGCAGACGATAAACGGGACTTTAATCATTTTTACTCCACAGAATTTTCACGGGTTAAAACAACTGAACTTTTTGATAACTGTTCGAGTAGTTCAATATTTAGTTTAATAGTCGAGATCACTCATTTTTGTACACACGTGTGGATTTACTCTGAGTAGACGTCTCCTTTTTTTTTCCTTCAGACACTGATACACAAATTTTTATAAAAAAAAAGGACCTGCAGGATCATCTGATTTTGGGAGGTTGTCAACACATGATAAGCATTTTACAAATTTTCATGATCCATAACTCATCGAGCTTTCTGTTTATCTTTGAAATTTCCTACCTCCTAGACAAATTTTTATCAAACTACCTTATGTGCGGAATAAATTTATTTTTCAATAATTTTCTTTTTCTTTTATCATTATTCTCGCTTTTTAAGAAAAAAAAAAAAAAAAAAAAAAGGTACACGAAATTTATGTACTTGGAAGACAATGGGAAGTTCGGGAATACGTAACACGTAATAACGATGATAAAAGTATACAAGTATATTTCGTACCATACCATGAAACGAAAGAGCCCAGCAAGGACGGTATCACCTCGTCCTCTAATCTATAGTCACGTAACTATAATTATATACCTATATACGTTGCAACTTGCAGTGACAAATATAGTGTAAAATGTAGTGTAGCTCGTAGGGCACACGTACAGTCCAAAGCGAGTCTTGGTCTGAGTAGGTGGAGCAGAGAGGGCTTGCAAGTACGTAGGTATATTTTATATGTGCATATACGTATGGCATACTGATAGAATACATGTGTGTATAGAGGGGGTGTATAATAAGGTTGGCCGGCTGTGTGTGTGTGTGTGTGTGTTATCTCTCCGTTGCTCCCCCCAAGGAGTTGCCGGTCCGAATAGATATATAGAGGTAACTGCATGGGCCACGGGGGGACCTCCTGTCACGTCTCGGTATCACAAAGAACTGCAAAAAAAGGATGCGGCTAAGTGCGCCCGAGGCGAGCCACTGTTCGTGGCTGTGTCCGTATATATATATATATACATGTACTCGCGTGTGCACCGAGAGCATGAAAGGGAGAAAGAGGAAGATATGCGAACCACAGCCGTGTAAGCAATTGCCGTCGAGGAACGGTAGCAAGGAGTAAAGTGTATTACGTACGTGTAGCGCGGTTGCACCAGCTGAGACTCGCGAGCAAGAATCAGAGGAGAAAATTAACGAGTCGAGTGTACGGTAATGGGAAAAGAAAAAAAAAGATGAAAATTTGAATGTGTGTGTGTGTATGTGTGTCGTTTAAGGGAAAAGATTTTGTTGTTATCGAGCGATGTCGTGTAAAATACGTGAGCAAAGACTGGCCATTTCTGCTACCGATTTCCATGTTAACTTATCACAACCGGACACGTGCAAGAAACTGACTCGTGGTAAAGTATGACTTTCGGTTGTAAAGTTCGAGATTCTGAGCTCAGCGAGACAAAAAAAAATTTTAATCCAAAGTGATTTTTAAAATATTACCGATCTAAAATTAATTCGTTTGTTCGATCGCAAAATACTCCAGGAGAGCTCTGAAAGCTCCTTCATGCATCATTTTGAATGAGAAAATTATTCACGGGATCAGTATTTATTTCAGACTACCTTTTCGTACACGACTTGAAAAATATAATTTTAAGGAAAACACCATCAGAATACGCGCAGTTTACACTAAAATAAAGCTCGAGTTGTTGTATATTACACCCGATAAATAATGCAATGTATTTAAGCTCTATTGTGTTCGACACACTATGACGTATAGAAATCCTCACCCTCTTGTGTTCTTTCTCATTATTTCCATTCAATTGAACGTCACCACAATTAGTCCGTACATCGCAGCTTGCGCGTACAACACGTGGTTATATTTGCACAAAGTTGGCTGTCAAAGTAATTGCATAATCGAACAACGCGAACGCGTTCATTGCCTTTGGTGTATCAACTTTTTTTTTGTGGCACGTGTACGAGAGAGAAAGAGAGAGCGAGGGATACCTACAGAGATAAAAAAAAAAAAAAAAAAGATATATATATATAGAAAAGAACGAACACTGTGGACAAACCGAGAATATCGAGCAATACCACAAAGTGACCATCCCTGCGGTACACATGCATGTTTTTTTTCGTTTTCCCTTTTAATTCGTTTGAGTGCCTGTATGTATATTGTTATATAAATATACGTGCATATTTGCTCGCTCTCTTTCTTCACTTTTACCTGTTTTCGTTGGTGTGTGTGTGTGTGTGTGTGTGTGTAAGCGATTCGTTTGCAGGAGGTATATTTATATATACCTATAAATGTGCAAGTGCAACAAGTGCGCGCGAAAGAGAGTCTGCAGGTACGTATACACTGTGTAGTAAACTCGTGGCCACCGCGTGAGAGATTTAATGCGTCGATAATGGATCACGCAGACCCCCCCCCCTTTCTCTCGGTATCGACAAAATAGGTATATACACACCGTGTACACACGACCCATAACGAGTGCAACAGTTTAACTTCCGCAAAAGACCGTAACACGATTCTCTCTCTCTCTCTCTCTCTCTCTCTCTCTCTCTCTCTCTCTCTCTCTCTCTCGACATTCCAGCGTTCGCGTTCGTGCATGCATGTGTACCTATATGCGTGTGTAGTACATACGTGTATAGGTTTAGGAGGGCGTATTATATTATTATATTGGATGGGGTATTTTCTGATCAATCTAAGTGTACGACGCGGCGTGTAACACGTGATAAATTATTGTTGTACATATTGTACGCGTCATTCGAGGAATAATTAAAATTTTTTATTTCGTCAAAAACGTCGTTCGGTGTAATTACCGAGTAGGAGAATGTATTATATTGTGCTCAGAGTGAAATTTAATAATTTTGTTAGTGGCGGCTTCGAAAGGAGGACAAAGGGCATATACATATTATATGTAGGACCTGCAGTGGTGCGGCAGATTCAATTAGTTGCGAAAATTTTACAAAAAGATTTTTTTACGATTTAATTTGGATTACTATATCTTTCGGGGAGTGCAATTTCAATTGAAATCACTTTTGAAATTAATAATTTAAGAAAACTGTATACATATCTCTTGGGGATTTGGACTGTGGACGGTCTATAATTACATTAGTGAAGAGAAATTTATAATTGGAAGGTTAAATAATGTCATTTCAGGGAAACCAAGTCATCAGATTGAGATTTAAAAAAATTTCTACTTGTGTGTTAATAAGAGCAAAAAAATTTACATTCACCGACGTAAAACATCAGTCATTTTATATTTAGAATTTTTAGTTTATTACGAAATCTTTGCTTTTGGCAGAACTGACCTTTACAAAATAACCCACTTCTGCTAAGTCAGTTCCGTACGTCCAATAATCCGATATGCGATTTCGCGTGGGACCACGAGAGTGAAAAGTTGGAATGAAAAAAAAAAAAAAAAAACGCGACTTTTGATCTATTATTGTAAACATACATTTGCATGGTTATAAAGTTCCAAGCTAGTTTCGCGAGTTTTAAATAATACACACGCAGTAAACGTGTATACATCAGAACGAAATAAAACATCAATTGTGTTTGGGTGCGAGTGATTGGCTGTACAAAGTGTATATATCAGTATATGTACGCAATGAAAAATTCTATACTGCTATTGAAATAAAAAAAAAAAAAAATAGGTCATGGGATGTAAAGTAAATATGACGATAAACGTTACCTTGCACCAATCAGCATGAAGGTGGGTGAGCGCTCGAGAAGTTTGAAGTGCTTCACGTGAGTTTCGTTGCCCAAGAAACGCTGTCCAACCACTTCGCCTGAAACAAAAGATGAAGAAGCGTAACGCGTTAAACTTGTTGTGCTACCGTTTGGCCCATAAAATATCGATGTGTGTACGTGGATATACGCACCAACACACATATTTTATACCACATGTATAGGTATACGGACCAGCCCTTTGCCCTTTATCTTTTCCCCGTCTTTTTCAACTCCAATCCTCTATGGAGTATGTGTGTATATACGTATACGTATGGTTAGCCCGAGAAAATTGAAATTTTCCGCTCACTCCTTCCCCGAGCTATAACCACTTCCTACTTTTCTCTCAACAGCAACGAGCCAAGAGGACTACTCGCCGATTGATCTACTTTAACTTTCCAAGTTTAAATTAAAAACTGCGAAATCATAAATTTTCCTCTCCCTGCAGCCAGTGCACGTCACGTTCGTTCGTACTTGTCTCGTCTCCTTCTCTCCTCGTGCAAGTTTAGCACCCATACCTCCGCATACATACACACACACACACACACACACATATATACTCTAGGGCAGGTATACATGTATTATATGCTTAAACTACGGCTCGTACGTACTTAATGTTTATCTCTGCCACTTTTCAGCTCAGTTTTATATACCTGTGTCTTAAATCGGTCTCTCCCGTACAGCATCCCGTTTTTAGAGCCGTAAAAGAAAGTATCTCGATTTTCGGTGGAACCTTTTACCATCTCTAACAAAAAATCAAATAATCCTTTTTTTTCTAAAAATTGTTAATTTAATGAATTATCGTAGTACTTTAAACCCACGCACAGAGAACAATTTGTGATGGTTGAAAATGAATTTTTTAGCAAACGAGTTTTTTCTTAAATTAAAAAAAAAAAAATTCACCACCAAGTTACAGTATCTTTTTAGCTCTGAAAATTTAGATAATATATCTGTTCGATTGAACATTATGAATACTAGTGTGATTTAGTAAGTTACCGATTAAATTTTTCCACTTCGAATAACTTTTGTCTACGTAGTTGCGATGTCGTTTGGATGTCTTTTAACTGATTTCCCATAAAATATTGTATAAAACAAAATTTTTCACGAGGACTAACAACACAAGTTGTCTTTATTGCATGTTTGTACGTATCATCACGGAAGTCTATTGTAGAACTGAATTTCTATAAATACAAATACCCGGGATCGTTTACGTTGAATAATTTAATTTTGAGTGGCACACACGGGGACGTAAATAAATTCACATTGAATGATTCAAAAACGACTCCGACAACTCGCTTGTATATACCAAAATATATTTTCTATATTTTCTCCTCAACGTAAATATGCCTCCATAACGACAAATGGCATCCGTCAACGACAAAAGACTAAACGGTACATACACCTATGTATATGTACGTGCACCGAATGAAATTCAAGACTCGACGAAGTTGGCAATAGAACTTTCTGCAAGGGAAAAAAAAAAAAAGGCGTTACTGCTCGACCAAGTTGAATTAGCACACCTATATGTATTCACCATCAGTAAGTACAGGTATACCTACGATAAGTTTCGAAACTATACGGTGTAAACTTAGACAGGGGTACAACAGGCATGAAATATATATATATAATAACGAGAGAATGAACAAAGGGATGAATAAACATAAGGGCTCTGGATGATGCAGCGGTGATTAAGACTACTGTTTCTCACGTATATTACATGTATATCTGTGTATTTTTCGCGTGTCTACAGGTGCACGGGGCGGAAGGAATATAAAAGCGTCGTCGCCTCGCTTAATAGAGAGGCGTCGAGAACAAAGTTGAAGAGAGCGAGGGAGATAGATGCGAAAAGTTGGCTGTGATTGCAATAAGCATGTGCTTCGAGTGCGCGAGAATAGAGAGGGAGGGAGAGGATCTCCGGGCTATTGTAAAATTCCATGAATTCGCGAGAAAGAGGGAAGCGACAGGGGTGCACGGGACAGATGCCGAGAGAGGACGAAGCGTGCGGCTGCATACATATATATATATATATTTAGGTACGGAGCGAGCTATATAGCCACGAGCGGTCGATAACACCACCCAACCACCACCGCCACGGCGGCGTGCCTCCATTCCGCTATATTTGCTGCCCCGTGCCGTTGTCTGACCGCTACGCTGCTGCTTCTACTACACAGCTCTTCCGTACACTCTCAGCATGCAGTCTGTCTATAACTACGGCAACTGTTCTGTACGTATATCATGTATATCCTGGTGTATATGTATATATAACACAGTGAGAGATGGAGCAGCTTCTGCCACTGTTGCAGGGATGTTCTCGCGTCGCGTATACCCATCAGCCATACCGAGCGAATTTCCGATTCCGCTATGCGTGTGTGCGGCGCGCCGTACACGCTCCTTCCATACCTTAATTCATATATATGTACGAACAGGTGCACCTCCTTGAGAACCTGTACACACACCTATATATACGTTTGTACGGTGGGGCTAAACTCGACTGACACTATAAAATACCTACTGGTACTTTATATATATATATTTGCACACATGTATGTGCGCATCCAGGTAGGTATATTGTACGGCCTCGCTGCCGAGTCCCTTTTTTCCTTTATTACGCCCCCATCCGCCCTCTCCTTTTCGCACCGTCCTCCTCGTCGACCACCATAAATTATTCGTTCCCTGTGTACGCGCCCAAACCCACCCCTCCCTTTTTTTTCAAGTGTTTCTCGGCTCAGGTTTCTCTTCCCCTATATAGCTTGTTTCGAGAGCGTTTAGCATACACGACAGTCTCTCTATACCGGTTAAGTGCAACGATTGGCCATGCGGTGGACGTAAATTATACCGTACACACACACACCCCGTATACCTATATACGTACGTATGTATATATATATATATATATTACATATAGGTATACAGCAAATTTGCTATTACCACCCCACACGCGCGTATATATGTATAATGTGCCTGTGTTAGCTAGGTAGGGATTCAAATTCAAATATGTGTGTATGTATACCTAGGCCATGAAACAGAAACGCCTGTCATCCGTACGTACGATGCACAGGAGTTGCAGCCGAGGAGGAGACAGTCGCTACTGCAGGTGTATATATTATTAAGTATGGCCGAGCAGAGCAGTGTGTGAATCACTCGGTCACGCGAGTCGCGAAGGAGTGTTTATGGGTAGGTATATAATATATGATTGATGTACTTTATATACATATTTTGTACGCCACGTTGGGGCAGGTGTACACCTGTACAAGATCGCGAAGCCATACCTATGGGTCATCAAAGGCGAGGGGCCACCCAACTCCGTACCTAATATTCATTATGTGTAAGTCCGTACAAGTCACACCTGCGACAATTTATGGTTTATTGGTATATACAGTGGGATATTACTCTGAAAGTTTGTAGTCGTTAGAAAATCGGTATTGCGCGAAGAACAACGGGGGAAAAAAAAAAACATCTGCTTCCGTAGCGCGGGCGGTTCCAGATGAGCTGGCAGAATGCAACCGGGTGGAGAAAAAAAAAAAACTACGAAAGCTGCAATCGCTCGAGTCGATGATTCGTTTTGCAACTATGCAGTCAAGTGTATAAGTATAGGTAATAGACGGGGGGGGGGGCTTTTGGGAATGCATCAGGTTGAAGAAACGACAACGGTAAAATATACCTACCTGTCCTTATCTAATACGTGTACATCTTGGCAGATTTTTGTTTTTCCTCGCTTCGTCACTGCCATAAACGTAAACGCATAAGTCGAAGAGGTCTACATTTTCTCTTGGAATTCGAGAAAAAAGCGAGGAAAAAAGGGCCCCGTGTGACTAAGTGAAAAACACAAAACAATAAATATGACCACTTGACTGGGATTTAGCTGGGAAGAAAATGCGAGGAATGGCTTGATGGTATACTTGAGCGCTACGTGTGGATTAGTCATCGCTTGATGGGAGGTACAGCAGGTATATATAGTGCCTATTAACTGCAGTATATTGTAGTGGCCACATCATCGATGCATGCGCCATCGGCGACGTCGTTGTAGTCGTATTTTCAAGGCTTAAGACTATCGGACAACCGAGAGGAACTAGGTAGTAGGTACTTATCTCGTGTTTGTTTTTTTTTAAGTCGAAAAGATGTTATCTTGGATTCCTGGGGAAAAAAAAGGTATCGAGTGGTAGGTATTGATTTTTGAAAAAGAAAGCAAACAGTTGGATTCCTTTTAACAGTGGTGTAGAGGTGAAATTTATTTTTGTGCATCTTAGTCACGATTGCCTCACAGGAATTTCCGGTATTTTCACCTCTGTAAGTAGTGTAACTATACGTGAAATCACTCTTTTTTTAGTAAAGTAAATTGTTAAACATGAAAATAAGAGCGTAATTTGTGCTTTTTTTTCCAGATTAACTAGAGTAGATTTTTAATAGATTCGTCATACTGAAAAAATTTGTTTTTTCACCATAACTGTGCAAATTAGCAGAAAAAAGTTATGAATTTTATTGTACGGTAACTTTTACGAATTCAACCATTTTTTTTATTGCAGTTTCGTTCTTTACTCTAAAAAATAGAAAAACCCTATACAGATCGCCAAAACGGCTAAAAAATAGTTCGCCCATAGCGGGAAGAAGCCGACGTTGTTTTTGTTTAATGTGTTTTATTTCAGGACATGAATACTGTGAAAAGGACAAAAAGAGAAAAAACTGTTTTGGACGATCTCATATATCTAAAAAAAGAAAAAAACCCTCATGTTTTTTTTTACCAAACTTGCGCTCTGCAATACCTTGATAACGAAACTGATAAACTTTATTTTCCCACTCAACCACAGGTATCCAATTTTTCCGCGAAAAAAAAGAAAAAAAAAAAAAAAACAATCTCAAGGCACGATAATGTTTGTCCACACAAGTGCAGCGCATAAGTCAGCCCAATCAAGTTGTACGGCACGCGCGGCATCGCCATAGGTGTTGTCACACAACGCAAAGTTCTCCAATCGCCCAGGAATTCAGCTCATTTCCGCGTAATCGTTAAAATTAACAAACGAGACTCGGTGAAAGAGAACAATGAACGTATAACAAAGCAGCAATG